CTCAAGGAACTTTAAAATACCACATTTGAATCAAATATGCACATATAATCAGGATTTTCAACTCAGTACTAACTTGTTACAATGGTTTTCCATACAATAAGGACCGGGACATACAATCAACACAGATTTACAACCCGTCAACTGTTTAAGTATTATGACTGTAAATAAAGAAACATTAACATGTACAAACAAATATAGGAATTATCCTGATTCCAAGATTTAAAAAATCATTTACAGTTGATTATAAGCTACTTTTAATTAAGAATAAGAAGAATACATCAGAAGAAACTTAATAGTGAATCCCTGAAAATTCTAGAGGTATGAAAACAAAGACAGGGTAAAGCTTCTATGATACCCTGATTACAATCTTGGACACTCAATCAATAACAAATAATCATAGAAGTAAGAGTCCACTAAGAACCAAAAAATCAAGGAATCTAACAGCTCTGATTGGTTCTTTAATAATCCCAGTAAGACTTATATGGCCAATCAACAAAATGATAAATAACAGTTCTGATTGGTTAAATATTCCAAATAACACATCTCACTACCAATCAAAAAGAGGATATTTAACAATTCTGATTGGTCATATTTCGTATTGATACTCCAACTACCAATCAACAATAGGATATCAAACAGTTCTGATTGGTTCTTAGATAATCCCAGTAAAACCTCTCACAGCATATTGACAATTTATATAAATCTGATATTTCTGATTGGTCCATTTTGTAATTAATAATGATCTAAATAAGGAGAATACTAAACATAGATTGGTCACAGCTGAAGAGTTCTTGGTTGCTCTATGGTGTCACATGTGTCAAACACTTGTATCATAATCAATCATAGTTTTGTTACCACAGATATCTTTCTGATAAATGATCCCTGCTTTTTCACATATATCAAGCACAAAATTATATTTGTAAGGCATAATTAGAATAAATTTGAATTAATTTGGTAAAGTTGTGCCTATAAAAGGGGATTTCTATTTAAAACCTTAAAATCAACATCATATAATAAATGTATCTACACATTAAAGACATATTATAAAAGCTGGTTTGTCGAATCAAAGATTATAAAAAAAAACCTTTAACAAAGAATGAACTTAAAACTGTTTCTATTTCTAATTATCATTTTTAACATTCAAGCAGATTATGGGGTACATACTGCTGGAACTTTGAACATATTAGCAATTCATGCATGAGGTGGTGTCTAAAATAGGAGAAATGTCAAATTAACTTACAAGTCATAGCTAACAAAAAAATATTATAAATAAACAAATGGATATGGTAAGAGTTATAATTGTAATATTTCTAATTAAAGCATGTGTTAATTAGATTTGGCTTTGACTTCATTGGTAACAGCTCCGTTGGTCTTTGGTTTTTTATAGGCGTTTCTGTAGAAGTCTGCGAACATGACAAGGAATATAACAGCGTAGGCTAGAATCCAGTAAACAAACAGTGTGGGGTAGTAACAGTCAATAAACAAAAGCTGTATAGAGTGGATCGTTACCAGGAGAAACTGAGTCTGTCAGAAAAAAAAATCCTTATTATCCTTATTACCAGGGTAATGGGTTAACATGTACAAATGTGTATAATTTGAGAGTCAACTTTATTGCATTTTTATATAATTATGGATTGGAATAGCTGCAGAACTGTAGCCTTATGGTTTTATACATTAGTTTTAGACAATAACGCTACAGATCTTGTAATGAAACAAGATGCCCACGGACCTTATTGGTCACCTGAGCATCATGCAACAACTTTCCAATGATTGAATTTGGTTCATGTTTTAAACTAGACATTATGGCATTTACAATTTTGAAAGAGGCACCACTGCTAATCATAACTAAACACTTAGCATGTTTAGTTTGGTGCATAGATGCTTTATGTCAAATTTGGTAGATTCGGTTGAGTGGTTGCAGAGAAGAAGCTGAAAATGTTCGAATGTTAACACACGAGGAACGCCTTACGACAAACAACAATGGACAAAACGGATAGCAATAGGTCACAGTCAAAGACCAATACATAAAACCATAAAGCTATAGTTCTGCAACAATGATTTGAAGAAACTGACTTTTGTGGAATCATTAATTTTTGTGGTCGCTCAATTTTCAGGGAATTCATGGGATTCTCTAGCTGCAATAATGTAGCCCTCTCCGCTTTTTTTTTGGGGGGGGGGAGAGGGCTACAACTCTTCAGGATCTCCGTAATGGTGCAAATGCGACAGTGAATCGCTCCTGCATGGATTTCGGCTCAAATCATCAGTAAACGGCTATTTTATTAACATCTCTTACCTGGACTCCAAAAAAGTAATTATGCAAGACATAAATCGATCCAAAAATATTCACAACGACCCATATATCGATTATTTTTCGTGTATGTCAACATCACAACTTGAATTTATCCGCCATGTTTACTGACCTTGATAGATTTTATTTTGGGACAGCCAATGAGAATTTATAATCTATAGGAGCGGATCTTTTCCAAATTCCCTTATCTTATACATGCGTATCGCTGTTTGCGTGAAAATAACGTTTGAAATGGTTTTATTCATCGATATTTTTGTTACACATTTCAGGACTGTCGTTTATAAACATCGACATTTGCTTTTTTAAGTCGTTCTAAACTTCAAGCGAAAGTCTCAGTACGTCACACGTGAACTGTCATGGCTGATGCTAGTAAACATGCAGATGTATTTTACATGGTTTTTGAGTTGAAGACGGAATAAAAATTCCGTCTTATAAGAAGTAAGTTGAATATAAAAATAATTTATTTTGCCTTCAATCGTCCATATTTAAAAAAGATCTTTGCACCATTACGGAGATGCAATGGAATTGTAGCCCTTTCCAGAAAAGATCAGATAAAAAAATCGGAGAGGGCTACATTATTGCAGCTAGGGATTCTCTAATTTACGAATTAATATCCTCCACAAATTAATTGACTTAAATGGTTATAAAGTCATATATTCTTTTCTAGGTATATTATATAATTATGTATATAAAATTGGCTCTGATCTTTAATAGTTCCATTGTATTTTAATCAAACCATACTAATATCAATATAATGGAATTGGCACCTCTTGGGAAACCAAATGAAAGGAGATAAATTATGCACTTTTCACTTGACTTAGAATTGATTCTGACCCACTTACTATCTGCATAGGTGTCATGTATTTTTTCACCAGAGATATTTCTGGTACTGAGGACCCAGGGCTGCCATACCATAGTAAGTGTACATCACAAGGTGTATAAAGGAATTCAGCATCGAGTGGAAGGTGCCAAACCCACCTAAAAATCATAACACACAAGATCAGGTAAAGGTACCAAATTCAAAGATAAATGATTTTAAGGACAAATACCTGAGATCAATAACAAATACTTGAGATCAAGGACAATTTTCTGTGACCCAAACAAATTCAAAATTGATTCTTATGCACAATAGTTATAGAGAAGGATAAATTTACAGAATTATCTTCTACAAATTTGACTCCAAACCACTAGGAGAAGGGCATAATTCCATGGTGAAAAACATGTAAAAATGAGGCCTGGTTAAACTTCTTCCTCATCACAAAGAAAACCTAAAAAATATTGTTTCAGTTTTATATTCAGATACTGAGTTGTTGTTTTTCATTCTGTTGTTGTAAAATCAATCTGGTATGATAGCAAATCTTCTAGAAGTACAAGCTGAAGTTAGAACAGAACTTACTGTGTCAAAAAGTTCAATAAATTTAGAAAAATAAAACATCCAACAGACTTTCAGCATCTAAAAATAAACAAAAGCTCCATTATAACATGAGTTATAGCTTCTGGTATTAGTTATTGTCAGTCAAAAGTGTATTAAATGACGAGGCCATGGGCAGGGCTTAAAAATGTTATTGACATGAAATTTTGTATTTTAAGTTAATATTTTGCAGACAACATATACAAATATGAGTGAAACATATATACCAAAAGTAGAAGACATTGATTATTGTCATGGAACAATCTTATCTAGGTTTGATTATCTAAGTTTGGTTTCATTGCCATTTCAGTTTCCAATATGTTTTGCATACACATATGCCTTGGTGTTTTATTACCCGCCTGCAGTAAGTCTTATTAAGTATATTTCAAGAATTTGATACCTTGATTTTCTTAACGCCTAGATCTCTCTATGAGAAATATATTGCTGAAAATCAGGAATAATTCTAAACTTTGAATGAACTCAATTTTATAACTCCAAAGTTTTTTTTTTTTTTTTTGAAAAATTAAGTAGGTAGGTTTTCAGTTGTTTTTTGCTTTGTTTGTTTGTTTTTTAATGTCCCTCTTAAGACTTTTTCATTCGCAATCCATCACAAGTTAAATGCACTACCGACTGGGCTATCCAGGCTCATACCCATGGCTCCAACCATTACACATGTACAAGAAACATAAATATGACAACATTAAAAGAATGTACAATAAGAATATTGTTTAAGAAGCTAAATTTTCATATGACCTTTTCAAGGTAAGCAAAATAACGATTTCCGTTTATCATGTTTATATTAAAAAAGCAGCTGTCAATTATATCGAAAAACCTGGACTTTAATTTGTCGTAGGGAATGGTTGTTTATAGCGTTGAAAAATCGTGCGTTTTAAGCTGTAGATTTTAATGAAATCGTGTGATTTCAAATTGTCCTAAAATACCTTGGAATTTTTAAGTATCCACATCTGATAAACACCACTTTTTGAATATAAGATAAACAATATTATATATTAAGTACTCTTGACGTTTCTTCTTCACTACTGTTCATATCTTAATGAGGAGTAAAGAAAGAGGCTTGGTTGTACATTTACTGTAAACCACTTGTATCTTTGTTTGTAACGATGATTTCGACTTTACAGAAAAGCACAACGACCTAGCACTTCGATCTTGGTCCATATGCTCTTTCTGAAATATATCTATAGATCTACCTTATGAAAGGACTCTTGTACTGAAAGATATGGAGATAACAAACAGTACTTAAGATCAAAAGTCCATAAAACAATGACAAAGCAGGAGCAGTGCAAACACGGACCTCTGCAACTTGAGAGGTGGGATCAGGTGTTTTGAACTATCCCCTGCCAACCGATCACACCCGCCGTGTGCTCCTTGTCATGTTCGGCAAATAACCTAAAAATCTGTTGTCTGAGAGTATCATAATTATAAAGTATTTTACGGCATGTAAAATTGTAAAAATTTGGTAAATTGTATCATAAAAATAATTTACAACTGGTTCAAATACGTTGAACGTTCCAACAAAATAACCTGTTTATAAATTTGATTGAATTATGAAGAAGAAAATGCTGAATGCAGTTACATTAAAATGAGTTATTGCCCGTTGCGTAATCTTTGAAGATAGTGTAATGATTAAGGAAGAAAATATATATTTGAAAAATAATTTTGCTTAACAGTATTTTTATTCACAATTTTTGAAAAGCGATTTTCCTGTTGACAATTTTTTTTATATTGGGTATGGATTAAAATTTTTACAAAAGTTTTTGCAAAATCCTTTGAGGAGGATATAATCGAGACAGGTGTTACGGTACTATAAAACGAAAGTAGATGCGATGGGATTTTCTGTAATGCTTTATATATGTGATTTTTAAATTAGAATACAGAATTTCAAATAAAACATACACATGTAGGTAAATTTACTCGCCATTGATGTTAACTTAAGGTATATACCAGAATATAAATTTACGGTAAATCATTGTCAGTGAAACAGCTATACAACGTATATCAGAGTCAGTCTATGTGGGACTTTGTCAGGAAGTGGGAACCCCCCAACTAGAGGCCATGAGGAGAGATGTGGAAAACATCAAAGATATGGTGGAAAATCAAGTGAAAACAAAAGGTGAGGAAAGTGTAATGGTGAGTGGAAGTCACAAAGAAGGATTTAGATTGAAAACATCAGATTTAGACATTATGTCGTGGCCAAATGATCACTGTGTAATCTGGGAATTTTCTCAGTCTCGGTATTACAACACACACAGAAAAACACTTATCCTCTGTGACTCTTCTCATAGTCCACCAGGATTTACTTTGTTATATTTACTAGCATCAAGCATGGACAGGGAGATTCAGAGAGCCTGTGTTAGAATGAACAACAGAAATTTTGTATCTAGTTCTAAGTACAGACAGATCATGTGTTCATTATCACTTCTCTCCACTCAACATGGACCCTGTGTCAGTGGAACACTCGGAACAACAGAATATGATCAAGCCCACTGTTTTGCTTGCGACTTTTGGCCTCCATCTGCCTCCTCATGGATAGACAGATGTCACTCATGGCCCCCGGCTCATATTGTTGATAATATAGTAAAACATGGATGCCACTTTGTAGCAGTTGGAAATAAGCTAGGAAGTTATGACGATCATGAATGGAGAATTTCATTCTCTGTGGCAGAACAAAAACTAGTGTGTGCAATGAGCCACTGTCAATTCTTAACTTATGGCTTGCTTAAATTGTTCTTAACAGAAATAATTAACAATGGACTCAGTGATTATGATAAATTACTGTGTTCCTATCACATGAAGACATCAGTTTTCTGGGTGATTCAACAAAAGATATTGTGTCATTGGTGTCCCAATAATCTTCTTGGGGGTTTCTGGGCCTGTTTTAAACTCATCCTCAAATGGGTGTATGAGGGGGTCTGTCCTAACTTTTTCATTCCAGATAACAACATGTTTCTTAGTAAAATCTATGGTGACAAACAAAATCAATTATTTGATAGACTTTGTGGGTTATATGAAAAGGGTTTAGCATTCCTGATACTACACAGTTCTTCAGTAAGATCTTATCTTTTAAATCTCCTTCATAACCCCAGACTCTCCATCTATACAGATGAGCATACTCTGATTTCTGAAGCTGAGTTTGATAAAAACCTATTCAAAGTCGAAATAGACGAACAAGACACAGTTTGTTATCAATCGGACATACAAAGGTGTATGAGATATCTACATTCAATAGAACAGATAATAGGTTTTTCCCTCTTTACACATTATGAAGTAATGATGCTTCAGAAATTAACAGCTACTGTCCTTCAGAACAGTGCTTTTATGTTACAAATGGAAACTTACACACATAAAAATAAACTGAGGTATAGAGCTGACAAAATCTCCTGTCATATGCTGAAATTAGCAGCGAAGTTTGGTTATATTACTGACATGCTGTACGTAGCCTTGTATCATTACAGGACACTTAAATTTATTGAGGTTTTATCTATTATAGAGATGATTAAGGTCAAATTAGCACAGCCATATGTGATGTATATGAGTAACGTAGATACAGAGATGTACACTGAGGCTGTAGGCGGGCAGTCCTGGTCTATAAAAATGAGAAATGCTGTCGCAAGGTATATCAGACTTGACGATGAAATCCATTACATAAATGAATTGATACCAGAACAACAGTCTGCTCTTCAGAATGACATGTCTATATTATTTGTACCACCGTTTGTACTGTTATACATGCTAGAAATTTTGTGCTACAGACAAGTAGACACAATGAGAGTACAAACAGCTCTAGATGATCTTCAGACCCTAGTTCACTATGATGACGGACACCTTATACCTACATCATACAAAGACATATCGTGGCAGATTCTGGGAATCTGTCAACAGGTGACAGGAAACCTCCAGTCTGCTCTATACTCATATCAACAATCTCTCAGACAAGAACCATACCACAATATACAAACAGCTACAACAAAGAGAATACAGGAAGTTTGTTGATTGAAACCCGTAATCAACAAATTTTCAGACATGTGTAGGAGTTCTCCTTGTATGATTTTGCTCATTTACATATTTCTTCTAATTTCATATTTTCAATTTAATGACATTGGCCGGAATTCATAAAACTTTTGAATATATTCTCAAATTAAGAAAACATTTAAGTTACGTATTTTTTAACCTAACTTTCCTACGATTTACTTAAATGAGGTAGAAACTCTTATGTGTTAAAGTTAATTAGAACGTAAAGTTAAAAAAGTTTCTTCAGGAGGTGTCTTAAGTAGATAAGAAATGATTAAGATTTCTTTATCAATAAAAAATTATGATTATCTGAAAAAAGTCTTGTCTTTCAGTAAAAAAAGACCATGCTTTAACATCTAGTTATAAATTCTTTTTAACTTTGGTAATTTGTGTACTAGTAAGATGCAAATGTGAAATGTTTTGGCAAAGCTGTACATATCAATTGTGATGTAATACACATCGCTTTGATGTCTCCATCACAAAAGAGTACTCTTTTTGTTCGGGACTGTCCATGTATAGTAAAAAAATTTTCGGGCAGCAATTTTCGTTTTTTACTCATTCTGTATTCCAGCATATATCAAAGTCAGATATGAGGTAATTAAATTAACAGGAATATACATCAGATATATTGTTTCCAGGATTGACCTCATAAGTACTATTTTTAGGAGGTCAGAGGTCAAATAAGTGCAAGAATTTCATCAATTTTTTCCAACACTTTTCAATATTCCTATTAAAATTTCACAAAATGGATGCTAAAATAGAAATTTCTGCATATACTCTCAAGAGGGTATCAGAACTGCAATATCTCTGCACCATTTTAGTTCAAATATTTTTCTAATGACTTTTAAGTGGTTGCTAAGTAACATTTTAAATTTTTTGGCTATATACATTGTATATTTGTATTGCTCCTTCTTGACACCTTTGTATATTCCATGATTTGTTAGAAAGATCTCAAGCAAAATAATTTAAAGGACATTATTGAATTAATTATTGAACTTGACACTTTTGAACTTATGGGGTCAAGGTCATGAATGATTACCGATCTATAAATATGTTAAATAGAACTGGACTTTCTTTTCATTTCTGTCAAAGAGTAACTGTTTTAACTGTTATATAGCCCTAAAAATTTCAGAACTTTGATTGGAATTGCGCAGAAAAAGACTGCAATCAATCAAGAGTGCTTTTTCATAAATTGTTTTCAGATATGAGTTCAAAGTTGAATATGATCACTTCATCAAAATGATATTTTCTGCACATACTAAGAAAATGCTTTTTTATACAAATAAATTGATTTGGTAGCTAAGTAAAGCTACCTCAGGTAGGTAAATAAAGCTAAGTAGGTAAATATAGTGATTGTACCAGACCTCCATTCTGATGAGTCATTAGTACATTTTGTTTTCATTTGAACGTGAATACATTCTTAACGTAGGTCGTGGGTTTGCTGACACCGTTAAAGCTGGATACGCAATTTATATGATTTGAGCGACTTTCTTGTGCACATCTAATTATGGCATCACAATGAAAAAGAAAAGTTCAGTACATTATCTAGCTATAATATTTGGTGGAATTGGTAGTTTAGTGTAATATCATTTGTAGAACATACTGAAGTAATCGATTATAATGAAGGCTCATTTCGATTTGAATGACACTTGAAGCACAAGAAAGTGTTATATCTGGTGTTATTAATTGATATTCTCGGGCCTATCGACTATGAAGCCTCAGATGTTTCAGAGTATATCAATACCAAATGGGCATAAGTTCAACTGAACTTTTTTCGCCATAAACTTTTTAGATAGTTTAAAAGAAAACAAATAACGTAAAGGTGATATATAGTTTATATTACTTTATGCTAACATTATATAAATACGGAGATCTTATTTTCGAGAAGTCGTGTTTAACGCACCATCGGTCAAATTGACCAGCACGGTAGTGAAGGATTTAACTTGCTTGTGGACATAAATACTTTGCATGTTTACATAATTACGTTGCATGTTTACATAATTTATCTTGCATGTATTGGGAAGAAATATGCCACCATACTGAAAGATAGAAGAAAAATCGCGAACAAAGCGACATTAAAACCATCGCAATTTTTTGCCAATTTACAGTATTTTTCTAAAATGGGTTGCTCATGAGGAAACATTGTGAGTGCAAGTAATACAACGATGTCTTAATTCATGAATTAAACATCGTTGTATTACTTGCACTCATATCTGGTCGCTAAGAGTAAAAATCTGTAATATTTTGAAATAATTAAACAAATGTGGATGTAAAAATGTGTTGCTTTTCATGAGTTCAAATTTGCCGCTCAATAATACAACGGTAAAATGGGAAGTGATGAGAAGCGAGGAAAGGTAAAATCTAGTACATAGCCACGATGTTAGTTTACATGAGGTAAGATCGTGCTACTGTTTTAAGTTAAAGGCATATGGAGATAACGAACAGAATTCAATATCAAAGTCCACAAAACAATGCAAAATAGGAGCAAACAAAACACGGACCCCCGAAACATCAGAGGTGGGATCGGGTGCCATGGAGGAGTGAGCATCCCCTGCTGACCGGTCACGCCCGCCGTGTGTTCCTTGTCGTGATCGGGAAATAACGAAAAATCCTTCATCAATTCAATGTATAAATAAAAAACTAACAATTAGTATGAAATACGTCAGTCCGTATTTAACTGATATATTTTATTTGCTGACAAGGTCATTGTATCGAGTATAGAACTTACGAAGTGATAACTTTAAACGAGACTCCTGCTGTTTGTTTCGTCACCTTCTTTGTCAATAATTTACCTCGTTTTAGAAATTTTTCATACGTAGAATATGCTCTTGTGTATCGAATCAACTAAGATATATACACTGCGTATGCAGGTGATAAAGGATTGTTGCTGCATAAGTGAGGGAAGTTGACGATAGAAAAGTTAAAGTCATCACGTTTATCATATATAGCTTTGTTCTTAGATGACCATTTATAAACTTTAAACAATACAGAACGGAGCAATCATGTTCTGCATTACACCGACAATCTTTTTGTCTGTTTAGGCAATACTACAGATGTACAGGTATTGTCTGAATTGAACTTCATAAGAATCCAACACTTTTCCTCAACAAACCATCATCTTATATTATGTAATGACAAATTCCCAACCTTTAATCAAAATTCTGTAGTTATCGTCAGCTTTCAGGTCAAAAGAATTCAAAAAACTATCTGAACCTCACTAATTCACTCTGGATTAAAAAATATTCTACGTCTCATTTCAGGTATTGACTGTTTTCTTTTATTGCCCTGCCACATGACATCAAATTTTACTATAGTCCCATAAAACACGAAACAAAGTTAATTATTGTTTAGTTACTGTAGCCAAATATTGATATTTATGAAATAAAGATCAAAATAATTTTAAATTATGATTACAACAATCTTAACTTAAATTAACGAGGCCCGATCTAGTTGGACTGTGCATACGTTTTAACGCAGCGTCAACTCAGGCACGTCACAGTACCCTTGACTGCAGGTACAGTTGAACACAATAACGTCACAATTAAAATGACGTCAAATTGCGCCAAAATGTTTCGCTGATCTTGCATACCTGGTAACTCTATAGACTGTGCATGTTGAAAGCTGGTATTTCTATTATTTACATGTTTTATTTAAAATATTTTTTTTAAAATTGATAAACAACTTTGGAACATGATTTATTTTGAGTTATCAATTTCTTGGTACATATTCATAAATTTTTCCTTGTTTTATTTCAATTTATGAGTTAAAAAAACAAACTCTGCAACCAAAAGTAAACGATTTTAGTCTTCCTCCCTGAACATGTTGAAGTGTTTATACATAACCTTATTTATTGAGGACTTAAATATGCATGGATAAGCTTGATTTCAAAACAATCAGTCTATGAATCATTTAAATGCAGCCCCGAAATATTTTATTTTTCTATATATTACATGATATTAGTAAAATTCGTCATTTGTTGCTTTTTACCCCCTCCCCCTTTTTATTCTACGTATAAAAACGTCGCGTGTGAAGGAAAAAAGAGAAAATTATTTCAAAGTGTAAGAATTATTTATTTTTTTTAGAAACTAATACAGTATTGCAATCGTTTGTTGATGTTCTGTACACCCATGGCGACTTATTTCATATCTAGTTGCATAAAATAAGTCCTAATTTTGTGCTTTGATACGCTCCCTTCTGACTGCAATAAAGGATACCTTCAATTTTCTTTTCATTTTTTATAAGAAGAAAGACAATTGCATGATATATGTGAAAAACAAAACATTTCATCATGTATTTTTTTTTAAATTGTCAATTTCTTTGTTAATTGGAGAGTTTTACTATGTAATTGTGTATAAAATTACAAAAAATGGTCCATATCTTGACAGTGCCCCCATTTGACTACAATAAAGGCAAGGTAATAAAATTTCATTCTAATTTTTCTAAGCATAATACATACAAAAATATTTCCAAAAATTAAAAATTTTTATCATTCCGTTTTCGTAATTTTCAACTAGATCGGGCCTCGTTAAATATGAGATCTAGATTTAGGTTGTCGAAACATTAGCACATGTATAGGCGCTAGATCACTTCTTCGCCGCCATATTGAATGCATTGTTGCAATTGATGAAATGGGAGTTGGTCATAAAACCTATTTATGTGGATGTTAAAATATCAGAGGAAGTTGAGATGCTTACGAAATCGGAAGGTAATGACTGAGGGACGATGTTACGATGATGGATTTTTTGTGGCTTTGTCGATTTCTCGACGTGATTCAGATAGGCTGTTTACGGAAGATGGGTTCTCAGTCTCGCTAGGCCTCCTTGATAGTGGACAGCTTTGCTCTATTATGACTTGCTCTTGATTCGAAAATAATTCAAATTTTATTATGTTTGTAAAAAGATCTATCATATCTAATTACTTTGTAAACAATAAAACAAAGCATCTTTTTTTAAGTGTATTTATACGCCAATTATATACAATCA